ACTTCGTCCATACCTTACCACAGGGCTCAGCGCTCACTAGACAACATACCACACTGGAAGTGGTCTGTATGCACCCAGACCCGCTCCCACATGGAGTATCTTTCCTTTACACCATGCTACAAACGGACATCCCGACCGAGACACCCCTGTTTATGAGGAAATGGGAGGATGCCCTCGGATACACGCTGACAAATAAGGAATGGGAGTCCATATGTTACCTCACACACCACTGCTCTACACACAGCAAAACACAAGAGACAGCCTACAAACTTCTGACACAATGGTACAGGACACCTCACTTCCTACACCAGATAGACCCAGACCAACCAGGCCTATGCTGGCGATGCCAACAAGAGGAGGGCAGTATCACACACATATGGTGGGAATGTGCAAAGATCAAACCATACTGGCAAAACATCCACAAAATGCTAGAGAAATTCACAGACAAACCACCCCCCCTGGAACTGGCAGCAATGCTCCTACACCACACTTCTACCCCTCACTCCAAATACAAAAAATCTATGACTATTCGAATACTCAACGAAGCCAAACGAGTGCTCCCCCAATTCTGGAAACAGGCCATAACACCTCCACTTAAGATCTGGTTTAGCCAAATGGAGGAACTGAGGACAATAGAGGAACTGACCCTGACGACTAACACTTCCCCGACAGCCTACATGGACATATGGACACATTGGATCCTAGAGACGGCGAAAGAAGGATTCCAAAGGGAACTAGAATCGGCAACTGCCACAGACAGGAAGGATTTAGGGAACACACACCTGACGACAGGCGACGACTGACTACCCTCACACCCCTTCCTACCCCAACCCTAACTTTCCCTTCCCCCCTCCAGAGGAAAGCCAAGAGATAATAAACCCAATCCAGGTAGATACACAAGTCAATGAGAGGGCACACATGAGAATTGAATGTCAAACTCACAGGGAGTCGGGTCACCCTGACCAGTAAGTCGGACGAAAGGCCGACGAGCCTCTGTACAACCCGCACACAAATTACAACTGCAATAAATGTAATGAACTGTAATAGAGAAATGCTCGTAAAATAAGTTAAAAGGGACTTGCAAGTCCGTCAACATTGTGGGCCTGCGAGCCCGACTAAAAGTTACTGTTTTTGATATATTCCAAATGCCTTCATATCCTTTGATAACTCACCTTGGAGACCTGCGAGTCTTCGAATCTTGACTAACCAATACAAATAAAAATTATATTCACAAAAAAAAAAAAAGATTACTCTAAAATATGCCTTTTGAATTGCCCTGGGATGTCTTCTTTAAGAAATGGTATGCCTTTATGGGGTAATTGGATTATATAACCTTGTAAAATACTCTAAAATGGGAAATGGACACAGCGTAAAAATTCAAAGTTTGAAAAAAACTGGAATGGCTGTGTCTCAAATGTGCCCCTTCCATGTCCACATATATCGGGCAAAGATACATACGGGGGTATTGCTGTACTTAGCCGACATAGCTGAGCAACATATGAAGTAGTATACAGTCGTAGTACACATAAGGTTTTCAAAATATACTGCGCAAACTCACTTTGTGTGTTAAAAAGGCAGAAAAAATGCTTATTACCACTACACTTGGTAGCGGAAAAATTATCCCATGCTAAGGTTCAAAATATGCCTTTTGAAATACCCTGGGATGTGTTCTTTAAGACATTGTATGCCTTTATGGTGTAGTTGTAATATGTAGCCTGCTCATTGTAACGGACCGTTTTGCACACAAGGGGTTAAAACCGTTTAAGCGATCGTCCCCTTCCAGAGATGCAGGCACAGCTACTGCAGAACACCAATCCGCCGAACAGGAAACCATACGAATGCTGTAAACAGCTGAATAGGAAAAACCATACGAATAGGTTTACACTCCTAGCAGTCGAACTGGAACAGCATACAATAAATCCCCCCAAGAACGAGACAAAGCTCCGTGTTGAGGGTCAAGCAGTGAACAGACAAAACTGTGGGTTTATTGTGCTTATGTACACATTCTTACACATTAGTACCACTGTTGTGGAAATAAGGTCTACACATATTTCCTAGTTAAAGGAAAATGTCTATTTACTCATCTCACACTATGCTATAGAGTTAAGCACACATGTTTAATCAAAATGGCTGCTAGAAGCTTCTAACCCCTTCCTCCCCCTGCCCCTTTAAACACCGACTAACTACCTCGTGCAGCAAGATGGCGCCGGGAAACCGTGGGAGACCCTCATGGACCTGGTGACATGAAATATTGACATATTTTTAGCTAGTAAAATGTCTATTTAGTTATACTTAATATTATTCAATAAATTACTAAACTGACCACTAGATGTCACTCAGGAGTACCCCACCCATCGACCAAACACTCTAATTTTCAAGATGGCGCTGGAATCCTGGGGGAGAACTCCATGACGACAGTAATGACATAAGAAGGCACACCCTGTAGGACGTGCTTTGAATAAAACACTTAACACTTAACCAATTATTGATGTATTATTCCATGTTATCTCTGACAATGCTTATGATGTAATTTTGCTTTAAAAGGGACCTGCCGTCCCCTCTGAATAAACTTTTCCTCAAGTTATTCAACAACCTGGAACCTGTGTCTGGTGTGAATTACTTCAGGGAGCGTGCACGCATTGTTTCATTGATTTGGCCAGGGGCAGATACACAAAGAAATAATCAATACTTTAATTGATTTTTCCATTTCAATTGGCGCCATAACGTGGGGCCCCCGGATTTGCCGGTTCGGAGGGCCGGATACCAAGGACCAGAGCGGACCCCCAGAAAATGGGACAAGCGGAGCCTGATCACCTCCATAATACAGCCGTTGCCTGTGTTATTCTCCTGTTTTGTGTCGGTCTGTCTCCGAGTCCACTTCCGGCTTCCAGAAGGCTACTAGAGACAGGTATTTAGCTCATCCGGGGTACCCTTTTAAAGTGAACCTGTCGATTGTCTATCTGCCTCCTGTATTTGTTTGAATGTGTGTGACGGCCGGAGTGTGTGTTTTCCCCCTTTTTAAAAGACAATAGCTTGACTGCCTAGCGGGCAGGGGACGCATTACAGCCGGTGGGGCTGGGATTTTACAGCCGGTGGGGCTGGGATTTTACAGCCGGTGGGGCTGGGATTTTACAGCCGGTGGGGCTGGGATTTTAAGTGGGGCTGGGCGGGCAGGGGACGCATTGACTGGGCGGGCTGGGATTTTACAGCCGGTGGGGCTGGGATTTTACAGCCGGTGGGGCTGGGATTTTACAGCCGGTGGGGCTGGGATTTTAAGTTAGCTTGACTTACAGCGGGCAGGGATTTTACAGCCGGTGGGGCTGGGATTTTACAGCCGGTGGGGCTGGGATTTTAAGTTTGCTTGACTGCCTAGCGGGCAGGGAACGCATTACAGCCGGTGGGGCTGGGATTTTGTTTGTTTATTACTGTGCTCTCATTAGTACCTGTGTTATACTGGGACCAGCCTGGTGGGTGAAGGCTGAGGATTGCTATACTTCGATTATTTGGCACCGGTGTCATTAACATGTACATGGCTATTTTACTCTCTGTCATTCTGTGGTTCTTTGTTTAATTGTTGTTACAGTGTGGGTACCCTTGGTGTGTGTGTGTGTGTATGTATATAGTGTGGCTAGTTCTGGATTCTGGGGTTTACACTCATCTCTATGTTTGTGATTTTTGCAAATGTCTTCTTGTTAGTGTAACCACTTTCATCTTTTCATTTGTCATTTATCTCTCCTGTGTTTGTTGCCCAGAGCTGTGTTAGTCACCCACGCTCGCCCCCTCCGGTCTGTGGCCACCTCCCCCGGGTGCACAGACCATCGTGACTAGTCAGTCGAGCACTGTAGACTTTCCTACTTCTTCTTCCCTCTCACTTGGTCTCCTTTACTTGGCAGACCTCGCTTAGTCAAAAAGGGGCAAGCACATACTAGACCAGCTAAGGGGTATTTGGCTTGTGATATTGTTAAAGAGAGGGCAGGGGAAGAAGCTATGCTGAAAATGAGAAAGTTAGCAAAGATTTCTGGTTTCCAAACGTATAAATCTCTGTCCTTCTGTCTTGTTACTTTACGGAGCTCACATGGTTAATCTTCATGCCTGCAGTCTCTCTCTCTCTCCTTTTTGCACTGTCACACTTTCTCCCACCCCTACTCCCCGCTTGCCTACATTTCTGCATTTCGGAGCTACTGATAAGAGTTAGAGAGAAAATATTCTAATTGTGTAGTATTGTGTACATTGTTCCATACATAGACGTTGTCAGGCAGGTTATGGAGCTATAATTGTGTAATATTATTATTATTGTTGCCATTTGCATGGCGCCAACAGATTCCGTAGTGCTATATATATTTTTAAATTAATTTTTGAGATAAGGTACTGAGGATTGTGGGAGTGACGAGCTCACAAGATTGCATTCAGTGTTGAATACGGGATTTAGGAAGGTGTAGCTTGTAGCTTGTTAAGGGGAATATGCGATGTTGTTATGTCTGTATAAGAGGAGGAAAGTGATTAATGGTTAGAGGATGTTAAGGGAAATTGGTTGAATTCCGTGAGTTTATCTTGCTTCATGTTAAAGTACATTTTTCAATGGATAGCTTTATGGGCTGTTAAATGCATAATGTTCTCAACTGTCTTATTTAACCTGCCAGGTCTGTTCATAGTTTAATATTTCATTTTGCAGAACGGAATGTTGCTTCTCTGACTTATTTTATTAGTTATAATATGGTGTATTGTTGAAAGTACGTCAGCCACCACCCTAAAGATGGCGCCTAGTACAGAAGCAGGTTGACCCTGAAAGTCCCGTGACCTATCTACAGTCACGGTTGCTTCTAAAGTAACGTCACTTCCGCCCTTACCATGCCCACACCTCCTGTCTTCCTTTCCCACACCTATCATGGACGTCACCTCACTTCCTCCCTTGCTGTCATTTCCTTCCCCGCCCCTGTCATGGCTGCCTCCATCATGAGGCCTACCCCTATCATGCTCGTCCTATTTAGAGACATTACACTCTACATATTATGAACTGAAACGTTATATTAACTAAAACAATCATGCCATTTGTTTCCCTGTATCAGAGATGTGTCCGTGATATTTAAAAAAAAAAAAAAGAGGTTGCTAAAGAGTCATTTGCACCTGTGGTGTGACCTACAAATGAGTTCTGTAGGGCACGAATATATGAGCATTACAGCTAATTATCCTGATGATTATTCATTAATGCCTGTGTCTTGCAACAAGGGATATTGCAAAATAATGCAAGTTATTTTAAACATTGTATCTTTACTTAATAGAATCTTGCTAGTTAAAAATCGTATGTTTACAGTAACATCCTTTACGTTAAATGACATTCCTCCGCCTCCCTGTCCCCCGCCACCTTTACCTATGCTTGCCTCTCGACTGACCCCTCCCCAGTGTTACCCACTCACCCGTCTCCATCCGCTGCCCCGCTCTCTGCCCTCTCGACCTTACTCACCCCACCGCCCCAGATCCTCCAGACCCTTGTCCTCCCGCTGATCCCGCTTCCCTTATGCCTCCGGACCTCTCTTCTACCTCGTTGTCCCCTCCCCTCCCGACTGATTTGCCGTCCCTAATCTCTGCCCTCACTGCCCTGACCCAGCCCCCCGTTCCCACCCCTCCAATCCCTTCTCCAGTGGTACCCCCTCCCGATATCCCGGTCCCCTTTACCTCGTTGCCTCCTCCCCTCTCGGCTGATTTGCCGTCCCTAATCTCTGCCCTTACCGCCCTGACCCAGCCCCCCGTTACCACCCCTCCAACCCCTTCTCCAGTGTTACCTCCTCCTCCCGAAGTCCCGGTCCCCTCTACCTCGTTGCCTCCTCCTCCCTCGGCCGATTTGCCGTCCCTGATTTCTGCCCTCACCGCCCTGACCCAACCCCCCGTTACCACCCCTTCTCCAGTGTTACCTCCTCCTCCCGAAGTCCCGGCCCCCTCTACCTCGTTGTCTCCTCCTCCCCCGACTGGTTTACCCACGCTGTTACGACCCAGCCCCCTGTTCCCATCCCTCCGACCTCTCCCCCGGTGACCCCTGACCCAACCATGGCCAATGACCTGTCTAGCTCGATATCCGCCCTCTTCTCTGCTGTTACCTCCCTGGTTAATTCCGCGATTCCTGCCCCGCCTCCCACTGATTTACCTCCTCCTCCTCCACCTCCTCCCTCTGATCCTCCAACCCCTTCTCCGCCCCCGGCTAACGTCCCCGAGCCTTCCGATCCAATCTCTGCCCTTGCTCACGTCCTTAATACTCACCTATCACGCCCATCCCAGCCGGCCCCCTGCTTTAGAGGCCCGTGCATACCCTCCAGCTCATGCTGATGGGTTTGACACGGGTGGTTTCCGAGATATTCAGCCCCTACCTCGACAAAGCCGCCTTGCCCGTGCTCCTATGCAGTCCAGCCACCCTCCCACTTCTACCCGCCGGTACCAAGGACCCGACCAGGCCCATTTAGATTTACTGCAATAGGTTACCGGCAAGCCTGTGTCAGCAACCCCTGCCATGACCCCTCCTTTTTGTCAGACACCGATGTCTCCTGTGTTGGGGTGGATGGTACACCCCGCAGTAGCCCCCTCCCTACACTCCTGCATGTTGGTTCACACATACTCTCACGTTTTGTTGTTTCTTCTACTTGTCCCATTAACCTCTTGGGTGCTGATGTTCCTTCTCGGCTCCAGGGTCCAGTTAACTACACCCTTATCACAGTCAGACACCACTGTACTCTGCTCACTCCCCATCTTGTTGAACCTAACTGACAATACAGGGAGTGCACGGGTCACACCCCCCCCCAGTGCTCTGGATCGTATCCCCCAAGAACTTTGGTCCACCGGCCCGGATGATATTGGACGCTTACATGTACCCCCCCGTCCTGGTCCAGCTCCTGCCTGGAGCACTTCCTCTTCGTAGACCTCAGTATCCTCTGAAGTCACCACAAGCTGAAACCATCACCAAACAAGTTGAGTCTCTGCTTGCCAAAGGTGCCCTCACCAAGTGCACATCTCCATGCAACACCCCACTTTTCCCTGTTAAAAAGCGAACTGTTAAGGGCCAACCCGACCAGTACCGCATGGTACAGGACCTCCGTGCTGTTAATGAAGTAACCATAAAGGACACTGCTATTGTTCCAAACCCCCATACTCATCTGGATGTTATTCTACTTCAATATGTTGATGACCTCCTTCTCTGTGCTCCTAATTTGCTTATTGCAGAGCGTGACTCAGAAGATCTCCTATGTTTCCTCGCTGCTGCAGGTTGCCAAACTTCCAAATCCAAGCTGCAATGGTGCCGGCCCCCTGTGGTCTTCTTGGGACATTGTCTTTCCCATGGCACCAGACATCTAACTTCTCAGCGTGTACAAGCTATTTTGCAACTCCAATTACCTGCACCACATCAGACTCTTCATGCCTTCTTGGGTCTTATCACATACTGCAGGTCCTGGATACCCGAAGCATCAAAGCTCATGCAGCCACTCTATGATGCCCTCAGGAGTGAGCCCTTTCACCTCACTGAAGAAACTATCATCTGTTTCCACAATTTGAAAAGAGCTATTGCTTCTGCACCTGCCTTGGGCCTACCCAACTACCAACTTCCTTTCAATCTGTTTGTCTCTGAAAAATCAGGACATGCTTCCGGAGTCCTCACCCAGAAACATGGATCAAGACAACGACCTATTGGCTATTTTTCCTGCATGCTTGACCCTGTTGCGAGAGGTAGTCCCTTTTGCCTCAGAGCGGTGTTTGCCGCCAGCGCCCTCCTGGACAAGACCAATGATTCTGTTCTTGGCCACCACCTCACAGTGTTGGCCCCTCATGACATTACTGCAATCCTGCAACAAACTCAACCTAAGCACCTTTCTTCTCAACGTTACCTTCGTCTACAAACATCCTTACTGTAACCTGACAATGTGAAACTTCAGCGATGTCTCTCCCTGAACCCGGCCACTCTTCTGCCACTTCCCAAGGGGGGAATTGTGCATTACTGGTATAGCCTGGACATCAAGCCAGAGGTTTGAGCAGATTTGCAGCTGCCTGCACTTGCACCCCCACATAATGAACAATCAGAGGCCCTACTTCACTGCACCTTATGGTTTAAAGACAGACCAGGCCCTGATATGAACTATGAGGAAGAATTATTCCAGCTCAAGGAAATTCCAATTACCCTGACTGACTTGTTATGGGACCCCACAGGTACCATGCTCATCTTAGTCCATCTTCCAGAGAACATGACACATCTCTACCATCATTGGGAAACAGCTATCCCACACATATCTCTCACCAGATCCTCTGACACCTCATGGAAAGACCTAGGCCCGATGGCCAAGACCTGGAGTCAAATGAACCAAGAACAACTGACTTCTATGGGGACCAGCAAAAAGACTATTAACTACTGTACAGCAGGGTACCCTAGGTACCACACAGACGTCTATGAGGACCCACTCATCATAGACTGTGACCCTGATATTTCCCCACTTAGCTGATCAGGCCGCTAAGGAAGCAGCACGACAAGGATGGGAAGTGGACAGAAGAGTGGCCACAGATGCAGTACCCATCTACACTATGCAGACACTGCCTACGGATCTTAGGCTTCTAAAGGAACAACGAGCTGCTGCTACTCCCCAGGAGAAACAAAGTTGGAAGAACAAAGGAGCTGTACTCCGTGATGATGTTTACACTATCAATCTCAAGTTTTGCCTACCCAGAAATATGTATCCAGCGGTGGTCCAATGGGCCCATGGGCCAGCCCACCTGTCAAAACATCTGATGAACTCATTGATTGACAAGTATTTTGAAGCACCAGGCATCACTACCTTAACACAGAATTACTGTAAATCTTGTACTATATGTGCTAAATGCAATCCTGGAAAGATTATAAAGACTGCACCTAATCATCTAGCTAAACCACAATACCCCTTCCAGAGGATCCAGATTGATCACATTCAGATGCCAAAGAGTGGACGTTATGAATATGCATTGGTCATAGTGGACATGTTTTCAGGTTGGCCAGAGGCCTTCCCAGTGACTAATCTCACCGCGAGGACTACAGCCAAGTATCTCTTGACAGAAATTGTTTGCCGCTATGGAGTTCCAGAAGTAATTGAAAGTGACCAAGGGACCTCCTTCACTGCCTCACTAACACGGGAAGTCTGGCCAGCACTGGGGGTGACCCTTGCATTCCACACACCATATCACCCACAGGGTAGTGGTAAGGTAGAGCGCATGAATGGCACTTTGAAAGCCAGAATGCTTCAAATGTCACAAGAAACTAACATGCCCTGGCCCGAGAGTCTCCCATTAGCGTTGTTTAGTGTAAGGTACAATCCTAGGGGAAAATATAGCCTATCACCTTATGAGATTTTGTTTGGTACAGCACCCAGGTTAGGTTGTTACTTTCCCCAACAGCTTCAGATTCAGTCAGATGCTATGGTAGACTATGTGACTGCCCTCTCACATGCCTTGACCAAAATACATGCCCAAGTGTTTTCTTCTATTCCAGATCCTGAGTCAAATACAGGTACACACAAGCTGCTTCCTGGTGATTGGGTTATGGTCAAGAAGTTTCTCAGGAAACACACCTTAGAACCAAGATTTGATGGCCCGTATCAAGTGCTCCTGATTACAGCAACGTCAGTTAAACTAGCCGGGAAGAGTTCTTATACACGCCTCACATTGCAAAAAAGTGCCTGCTCCAGAAGAGGCTAATCTTGCTGAAATATGAATTTATTATGTGTCTTGTGTTTTCTTATGCTGCTACACTTTACCTGGGCCCAACAAGTGGCCATAACCAAAGATAATCATGTTTACACTTTTCTGGTACAATTCTTCTAACACAGATGTAGCTACATACACCTTTGATTACTGTGACATAGTTGTTTGCACCTTTTCCACAAACACAATATGCAGCCATATACAAAGACATACCTAGCAAAAAGGCTCACCTCACCAGACTGGGTAGGAACCACTCACATGACTATTAACACGTTAAAACCACATATTAAGACTCTACATGACATGGTAGCTATAGCCAATCCCACCTTTGAAGACACTATGACAGTAGAGACTGGGTTTACAGACACTAATTTGTGGCTAGAATGGATGAGATATAACGCCAACTCACATAATAAGACTAACTGTTATGTATGTGGAGGAGCCAGGCCCCATCTGGGCACAGTACCTCTAAGCCTACCTCCTGAAGTAGAATTATGTGTTCTGAGTCTTTATGCACAATCCACCACCAACTCCTCAACATGTGAATCATGGAAAAGGGTTTACCCAATCACTCATGGATATGTCAAGCCACCTGATGGAGTCACCGTGTATCCAGGTAATTACACATGTTATGCTATACCTAAGAATACTGGTGTGTATCTGGGCAGATTCCCATCTGGATATTGCTCAACCTACCATAGCCCACCTGTGTCACTGCTAATAAATCATGCAAAGACCATTGGAGATATCTATTGGTTATGTGGTGACAGACAATTGAGGGCCCAACTAGCTGGGCAATGGTGGGGGAGTGTGCCCTAGCCAAAGTTATAATGCCTATCCACATTATTCCAGATGGTAGTCATAACACATTAAACCTTACACATATACATTCTAGAACCAGACGTGAGGCCCCCATCCGAGGGAGCTTCGACCCCCATGTGTATATTGATGCCATAGGTGTGCCAAGGGGGGTGCCTAGCGAGTTCAAAGCACGGGATGAAGTGGCAGCAGGATTTGAATCCTTAATTCCAATGATAACTGCTAATAAGAATGTCAATTGGATTAACTACATTTACTATAATCAACAGCGCTTTGTCAACTATACTAGGGATGCCCTACAGGGCCTGGCAGAGTAATTACAAGCCACTACCCAAATGACATTTCAGAACAGAATGGCCCTAGATATGATTTTAGCTGAGAAAGGGGGTGTATGTAAAATCCTCCCTGAGACCATGACATGTGCACATACATTCCAGACAACACTGGGCCCAATGGTAAGGTGACTATGGCCATAGAGAAGCTAGATAGTCTTGCAGACGAGCTAAAGAAAAATTCAGGAGTCACTGACACTTGGGACAGATGGTTTGGATGGATGAATGGTTGGCAAAGGACCCTCTTCCAGGTAGGGACAGCTGTTCTTATAATGATCATCATTTTCTTATTTCTAACCTGTTGCGTACTCCCTTGCATACAGAAGTACTTACAAAAAGCAGTAGATAAGACTATAGTTGACGTGACCCCTACTTTCCTACATCAGGACGTCACAGACCTCGAAGATGACACACCACATACACCCCTTCAAGCACATCAGTTCAAACAGACAACTGCTTTCCTGTAGGGATAGTATAGGGAAAGCATCTGTCTTGGCAGGCGAGTCTCACGTGTGGAGATGTAGTGGATTAGCCGCTGCGGGTTACCCACGGAGTGAAGTGTTCGATGCCTACTGAGATAGATTAGGAGCATATCATTAGGGATATATTAGGGACAGTAGCAGTTGTTATGGTAAATAGCCATTTTAGGGGGGACTGTTGTGGAAATAAGGTCTACACATATTTCCTAGTTAAAGGAAAATGTCTATTTACTCATCTCACACTATGCTATAGAGTTAAGCACACATGTTTAATCAAAATGGCTGCTAGAAGCTTCTAACCCCTTCCTCCCCCTGCCCCTTTAAACACCGACTAACTACCTCGTGCAGCAAGATGGCGCCGGGAAACCGTGGGAGACCCTCATGGACCTGGTGACATGAAATATTGACATATTTTTAGCTAGTAAAATGTCTATTTAGTTATACTTAATATTATTCAATAAATTACTAAACTGACCACTAGATGTCACTCAGGAGTACCCCACCCATCGACCAAACACTCTAATTTTCAAGATGGCGCTGGAATCCTGGGGGAGAACTCCATGACGACAGTAATGACATAAGAAGGCACACCCTGTAGGACGTGCTTTGAATAAAACACTTAACACTTAACCAATTATTGATGTATTATTCCATGTTATCTCTGACAATGCTTATGATGTAATTTTGCTTTAAAAGGGACCTGCCGTCCCCTCTGAATAAACTTTTCCTCAAGTTATTCAACAACCTGGAACCTGTGTCTGGTGTGAATTACTTCAGGGAGCGTGCACGCATTGTTTCATTGATTTGGCCAGGGGCAGATACACAAAGAAATAATCAATACTTTTAATTGATTTTTCCATTTCAACCACCCACAGGGTTTTGGAACACAACCAATAAACACATACAATACACTCAGACACTCCCACACAAATTCCTCCCCTCTGCATGTGATTCAATTACCTTACACAATGGGTAATGTAATTTAGCACCAGCAGAGAAATACAATTTTTCCACATTATTCATAACTTGAAAAGTATGCATCACATTCACATAAAACTTTTCAGAATCAGCATACTCCAAATACAAACATACGTCAAAATCATACAAATTGGTACAGTGGTTCAAAAGATAGATCGTAGTCCTTTGTGACCACAGGAAGCATGGCTTTTCTGCCCAAAACCAGTTCCACAGAGTCTTCTATCCTGGAGATAATTAGAAGTAATCCAATTATCTCCAAAGACAGAGGAAAAACTCCATTGAACACATGGCAGCAAAAAGACAGTAAAATACAGTAAAATACAGGTTACATTTATGACATAAAATACAGACATGCAACATATGCCCAGATAGCTTAGGTCTGAGCGCACATTAACACTGAATAGCGCTCAGAGCACACACATACAGTTCCATTGCCATGGAGCCAAAGTCTTTCCCATAGTCTTTCATTATACGAATGGGCTCCATGGCATAGCTATCTGGGGTATCACTGCTCAAACAGGGCAAGCACCAAATGACCCCGGCTTTCATGTCTTTGCAGGGGAAAATCCAGCGTTTCAAAATGGGGCCATAGTCTAAAGGCAGCAGGCGGGCAACCAGGCTTCTCCAATGCAATGTGGCGAGATTGCTCTCGTCACACTCAAGTGCTCCAAAGTGGGACACAGACGCATCAAAACCCTCCATGAAAATTCACACTTAAAAACCTTAACTTGTCACATCTCTTTTACAGCAGTGTAACTTCACAAAATAGTGTCTAGGTCATACATTGGGCATATTGTTTTACTCAGAAGACTTAGCTGAGCATAATTTGGGGGGTTTGAACTTAGTGGCACATATGAAATGTACAAAATGCCCAGCAAAAATTTAATCCGTATGTAAAAAATGCCCAAAATGATTTTTTACCACATTCTTTGGCATATATTGGTGAAAAAATAGGGGCATGTTAAGGCACAATATGCACCATATGAGATACACTGGAGTGTCTACTTTTACAAATGGTAGGCCTTTGTGGTTTTTTTTTGAACAGTCAAACTGCTATAATACCCCAAATTGAAGCATAGGCCCATTAAATCCGCCTCTCAAAATTGTACTGTAAATGTTGAAACGGACAGGTCTCCTATATGGAACTGTAGCTTCACGAAATAGTGCCAAAGACATACAATGAGGGTATCCTTGTACTCAGCAGAAGTAACTGAACACAAAATAAAACTTTGTACAGGAATAGCACACACCAACTTTACAAAATACACATGAGACCATTCCATTATCATTTTTTAATAAAGTTCATTCGACGATGTTGAAATTTATATGGGGGAACAAGCCTGCCCGAGTGAGGCTCACTTCCCTGCAGCACCATAAATCGAACGGCGGTATCGGTGTCCCCGATATCCGCAAATATTATTTCGCCACTAACGCTGCAGTGGTTGTGAGCTTTAACAACCAGGATGATAAACCCAGATGGATGGAGATAGAGGAATCAAAAATTTCACCGGTTAGGCTATTAGAATTACCTTGGTTAAATCCCAAGAAAAGACCTGGAATTACAAAATTATTTTTATCCACCAGGACTACGCTTAAGGCCTGGGACATTGTTTTTAAAAACGACCAGTCTCCCAGATTATATAGAGCAATGCCTATTGAATTATTGAAAGATCATATACCATCCTTAAAAATAGAATTATTAAAGGATTGCTCTATAACTAATCTGGACAATTTTTTCTATGGCAATGCTATTCTTTCTTTGGAAAAATTGAAGCTTAAGTATGGATTGTCGAATGCATGTGAACTGGAATGTATGATAATCATTGATAAATTGAAAGAACTATACCAGGTACCTGAAACAGATAAAAACTATAAATCACTTGAGATATCTCCTTTAGAGAAAGTTATTTTATACAGCCCCGCTAGTAAAGGTATTATATCCTTATGTTACTTATCTCATAATGCCAAGCCCTTAGTTAAATTAAAACATATGCTGTCGTGGGAGACGGAGTTGGGTGCCCAGTACGATTTAGTAGAATGGTTCGGTTTCTTTACAGGTTTGAAAGGCATTTCGTATTGCACCGACCATTTTGAAAATCATTATAAAATCTTATATCGCTGGTACCTGGCTCCGTCTAGATTACATAACATGAACAATATGTATTCTGACCGGTGTTGGAGAGACTGTGGGGGAGTGGGCAATATGGCTCATATCTGGTGGTTTTGCCCCAAGTTAATTAATTATTGGAAAATGATCCACGATCTGATTATTAAAGTGAACGGAACCATTAGTATCTTAACCTCGGAACTAGCCTTATTTAAAAAACTCCCGGAGTCTGTTAATAGATCAGATAAAATAATCATAGGCCACATTCTGATCGCTGCTACATCCTGTTTACCTAGACATTGGAAGTCTCAAAATGTGCCATCTCTCAGAGAAGTTTTTAATTTGATTTTAGAAAATAAGGCACATGAACTATCACACAGAGCCAATATGCATGGTTTCCCAATACTAAAATACAACTGGGATAAATGGGAAGAAAAAAATCAAAACAGTTTATGGTCTTTGATATATTTATTGTTAAAGTGCATTGTTGTAAAACATTTTTCCTTTTGCCTTCTACTTTAATATGTTTATTTCATTGATGGATGGATACCCCTTCCCATTTCCATGTTACCCCTCCTTTCCTACCCCTAATACAATGTTTGTATTATTATCATTTGTTATACAAAAAAAAAACTTTAATAAAAATTATTTGAAAAAAAAAAAATACACATGAGAAGTTCTTTGTTATAAGTTTGTGTGCCAAAAAAACCCCCAAAATAAATTTTACTCCAATATTTAGTAGAGATTGGCGGTGAAATGGCTACGTAGAAAGTGTCAAAGTAACCTTAGGACAATAGCCTGTGATGTTTACTTTATATAAATATATACTTTAGTGTGGCAATTTTGTTTTCTTTTATGGCTATTAAGCTTACAAGACAAACATACCAAATTCTAAAATCGCTCCACATTAAAGGTTTATTTTACTCCTTGTGCTTTGTGACCTGTAACTACCAAAAAAAACTTAAAATCCCAGACACATTATATATTCTGTAAATCAGAACAACTAAATGAATTTATTTTCATAATTACTTTCTTTAACCTGCACTAATTAGGCACACATTATTATTGCAAAAACTGTACAAAAAACACAATTTTTTCTTTTTTTTGCCTTTTTCTGTATTTTTTTTAATAATAAATAAGCATTTATATATATATATATACATATATATATATATATATGTTACATCAAATTAAAGCCCTTTCTGTCCTTTAAAAAACAGTATATAATATGAGTCGGTGCAATAAACGAGAGAGATGCAAATTGCAGTTGAATGCATACAGCAAGAAAATGCAAAAATTGCTTGTGTCATTAAGCGTAAGACAAGCTTCTGAAGCTGTGTCCTTAAGGGGTTAAAGGATCACTATAGGGTCAGGAACACAAATGTATTCCTGACCCTATAGTGTTAAAACCACCATCTAGTCCCTCCCCCCTTCCACCCCGGGCTCCTAATGCCTCCATAAATATAGTAAAAATCTTACTTTATCCACTTAATGTTATTAATGTTATTAAGTGTTCTTGCATAGCAAGACCACTTATTGTTATCTCACATATATATTATTATTCTTATTATAGCCAAATTTGCTACCCTACCTCCTCCCACAGTTTTTACACTACATAGACAAAAATTTACCAAAACGTGCAGATTGTTCCCGATCGGATTGCTATTACTTTGTGGAACGTTTCGCCGAATGGTTCACGGAATATCGTCGTTCTTGTGGTGCAATTTGTCCCATAGGAATGAATGGCAAAGCTAGAGTGGGAGCTGGCAAAAGCTGAAAAATCAGGACATGATTTCTAAACTGCCACCACTCCCTTATTTTCAGGCCCACCTACACAAATCTTATATCAAAACGTTCAGCTATCCCTGCTGCCACTAAACATGTCAACGGCTAAGCCATAGTCCTGATAGTTTTCACAATATAATCATTTGTTTGCAACTAACGCCGTCCATTGACATTCATTGAAACTTCACTCTACAAAGCTCAAATTTGAAGTGCAATTTCTAAACTGCGACTGTGCCTTCATTTTTAATACTTCAGAGACATACTATACATCAAAATGTAGGTCTGGGTCTTGTGATTCTCACAATATAAAGCTCTTCACTGTAGGAGTTATAGTTTTTAAAATACGACCGTTTGAAGATGGCAACCGCCAAAATACTCTGACCTGTGCAAGGCTGCAGCAGCAAGTGATGTCATAGACAGGGCCTTTTGAACACCTGCTAATGTTTTTATAAATGTATGGTTTAATGTAACTGTGCAACAACGTTGCAATTAAATGTGCTATATAAATGATAACAGTTACTCCGCCCACTCCAGTTGTAGAATACTGGTGGAGGCAAGAACACTTCACACAATTTCCCCAGAAATTGTAGCTTTTCTAGTTATATATATTACTCTTATTATAGCCATATTTACCACCCTAAATCCTCCCACAGTTTTAACACTACATAGACAGTAATATACCGAAACGTGCAGATTGTTCCCGATTGGATTACTATTACTTTGTGGAACGTTTCGCCAAATGGTTCACGGAATATCGTCGTTCTTTTGGCGAAATTGGTCCCATAGGAATGAATGGCAAAATGTTCAAAACTAGAGTGGCAGCTGGCAAAAGCAGAAAAATCAGGACATGATTTCTAAACTGCCACAATTCCCTAATTTTCAAGCTCACCTACACAAATCTTATATCAAAACGTTCAGCTATCCCTGCTGCCACTAAACACGGCTAAGCCATATTCCTGATAGTTTTCACAATATGACCATTTGTTTGCAACTCATGCCGTCCATTGACATTCATTGAAACTCCACTCTAGCCAGCTCAAATTTGAAGGGCAATTTCTGAACTGCGACTGTGCCTTCATTTGTAATATCTCAGAGACATACTATGCATCAAAATGTAGGTCTGGGTCTTGTGATTCTCACAATATAAAGCTCTTCACTGTAAGATTTATAGTTTTTACAATACGACCGTTTGAACATGGCAACCGCTAAAATACTCTGACCTGTGCCAGGCTGGAGCAGCACGCGATGTCATAGACAGGGCCTTTTGTACAACTGCTGTTTTTATAAATGTATGTTTTAATGTAACTGTGAAGCACTTTGGGCAACGACGTTGCAATTAAATGTGCTATATAAATAAATAATAACAGTTACTCCGCCCACTCCAGTTGTAGACTACTGGTAGAGGCAAGAACACTTCACACAATTTCCCCAGAAATTGTAGCTTTTCTAGTTCAAGCCTGAAGCTGTAACTCTGCATGCTTTTAGACTTAGAAAAACAAGCGGTGTGCTGACATCATCAGAAGTGGTGGCCTGGTCCAATCACAATGCTTTCCCATAGGATTGGCTGAGACTGACAAAGAGGCAGATCAGGGGCAGAGCCAGCATGATTCAAACACAGCCCTGGCCAATCAGCATCTCCTCATAGAGATGAATTGAATCAATGAGGAAAGTCCAGTGTCTGCATGCAGAGGGAGGAGATACTGAATGTTTGGATGCATTTTAGGCAGCCATGATCCAGAAAGGATCTCTAACAGCCATCTGAGGAGTGGCCAGTGAAGTTATCACTAGGCTGTAATGTGAACACTGCATTTTCTCTGAAAAGACAGTGTTTACAGCAAAAAGCCTGAAGGTAATGATTCTACTCACCAGAACAAATTCAATAAGCTGTAGTTGTTCTGGTGACTATAGTGTCCCTTTAAAAAATGCAATTTCTACCTCTACAGCGGTGGTATATATAATCAGGGAGCCGAGTGGTTTGTGTTCACACTGTAATTTGTCTAATTTTTACAATACTTGAGTATCCAGTAGATTGCAAGTATTCCCTTTACTTTAAAAGATACAAAGAAACAGGATATAGTGTAACACAGTACAGTATATTTTAATATTTCCAAAATCCTAAACTCTTATAGGAATTCTTACACAGTATGATCAACATATAGCACCAGATCTAAAAAAAATTTTAACTACAGTGCTCTATCTAATTTTTTTAATGTTTTTAAAAAAATGTGCATCTATTAATGAAAGTATTGAGCCCTATTAACATCTAAGCCAAAAATAATATTTAGAAAATAAACTGGTACACAGTTTTAAAACCCCAAATCCAGAAAGACACTTTTTTAAATGACAAACGTTTTAGTGTTTTTTTCTTGTTTGAATTTTATTGAGTTTTCATAAAATGGGAGAAGGATACAGAAAGCAAAAGGGAAAGGAAAGGAGGGTAAGATACAGTTCCATATAATTACATAACAAAGCATATGGTAGCTTATGTATATAGGTCTATCATTGTAACATTAAAGGACCATGTGACGGACCCGCTGGCACTCCGACCGAGTATCTTCGTCAATCGATGCTCCTAGTGCTTGCTGAGGACTCCAAGCACTCCAACCGACACCATCAGCACTGCAGACTTATCCCATCCCCCAAGCATGAGCCAAGGCTTCAAGAAAGGGTCAAGCAGGTCTGTTTAATGGGCACACAAAAGCAACAGCACTCAGCAAACCAACTCCTCCTCAGAGGAAAACAAAATTACAGTTAAAAGGGTCAGACAGAGTTTGAAAATATGACAGTTATTAAGGGTTTAAACTGGTGTTCTAAGAAGGGAGGGGGGAATAAAACAGTCAAACTAAGTCCATAAAACAGGGGTTTTCTTCACACTCTGCATCCGAATGCATAGCAAAACTGCAGATACTTTGTCAGAGCATTTAAAGGGCCAGAACCAGTCTAATAAAATTCACTATGCCCAAATAACGTATTAAAAGGGCAAAATCTTCCAAGGGCCATAGTCGCAGGGCAGGAGGCTGGCAATTAGTCCTCTCCAGGCACAAGTGGCGAAGGGCACTTCGTCACAGACCACGATAGGAACCCAAACCACTTCAGCTCAATGAAGTGGTCTGGGTGCCAGGTCCCCCTAGTTTTAACCCTGCAGCTGAGAAACTGCTATGTTTACACTGCAGGGTTAATCCAGGCTCTAGTAGCTGTCTCCCTGACAGCCACTAGAGGCGCTTCCGCGATTTACACTGAGTAAATCGCACTTATTTGATGCTGGACGCCCTCACGGAGTCCAGCATCAAATAAGATTCCCATAGGAAAGCATTGTGTAATGCTTTCCAATGGGCGGGTTTGAATGCGCGCGCGCCTCTGGCCACGCATGTGCATTTGGCTCCACTCAGGAGCAGATGTCGGCGGGGGAGGAGAGGTCACCAGCGCCGAGGAAGCCCGGCGCTGAATTAAGGTAAGTGGCTGAAGGAGGAGGGGCCCCGAGGGAGGTTTGTTTTCCTGGCACTATAGGATCCCTTTAAACATCTATTGTAGGGATGTAATGTAAATCTCTGTCACACATAGCTTTTGCTAACACAGGAGATCAAATTCATGGTGTCGACATGTATGTGTTATTTAGGAAGGGGTGGAGTATAGAAAGGAAAAGAAGGAACTAAGACGATAGAAGCAATACAAACAGATTTTTGCTTAGTCTCGCTCATGGTTTAATGGTCTCTTGTGGATTTTTACAGCTTTTAAATGTGGTCAATGTAATATTTGCAAAACAGTAGGACCACCTTTTGGAATAATCACCAATTTTCAATCTGCTATAATGCAAAAACATTATTAAATTGAAGACAGTGCAACGTGCCACTCCAAACAAGTGATTTATTAAAGTGTGAATGTGGATTTCAATATGTGGGTCAAACAAGGAAGATGCTAAAAGTAAGACCGAGAGAACATATATATTACATAAAAAGTAAGTTCATAAATCCTACTTTATCTAAACATTTTGCACAAAACAAATTACAATATTAGTGTATAGCAGCTGAACTAATGTTTTTAAATTAGTATTATTTAAATTTTGTGCTTCTTTGCTTATATTTAAATTTTGTTGTAAAATATATATAAACTCAAAATCTAGATTTAGTTCTGGGCAATAGATTACACAATACAAATAGCCATCTACTTGCTACCTTACTCAATTTTTTAAAATTATCTTCACCTCTCCAATTTGGTCAGGACATGCCCTCTGTAACCAAGGGAGCTCAGCAACACAACCAAGTTGAAGAACTTGCGGTTTCTGCGGCAGAGGAAGCTCAATATGAAATGACAAATATATGAGCAGGAACCTTTGTGACTGAGAAAGTTTTTAATAGAGCAACGATTCATGTATGTCCTTAGTGATAGGGGGAACCCATTAATAATTCTTAATTTGAGGAGTGTGAAATTAAAAACAACTATGTTACATATCATAGATTATAAAAGATATATATAAAACAATATGCCGTATGCCTGGCAAATGATGAAATACCTGGGACTGTAATTATTTTGCAAATAAAAAATATGATTTGTCAGCATATAGAGACACTGCGTGTTTAGTTATGAATGGCCATAATGAAGATCACAAGTAAGAGGTAGAAAATTTCATAAATGAGTAACCTTAGAGTATTACATGACAAATAGCCTAAGACCAAAGATGTGTGCTGTTATCACAAAAATAAATATTTATAGCATTCCTCAGAAAAGAAAAGTGTACTGACCTCTAGTGAACATTGGCACAAATCCACCGACAAGGCCAGCCTTCTGATAGCGTGTTTACAGGTTGCCATAGCAGCAATCATGCTACAAATAAAAAGTAACAAGTGCGACAGAAAATGAAAATCCTCCCTGTGAAAGGAAAGCAATACAAATGTTGCAATTGAAACCAATGTAACATAAACCAAGTAGCAACGGCAAGGTTCTTATAATAAACCATATAATATTATCAGTCCAATAACGAGTTACAAAAGGATTTAGTATTGATGTAACACACATGACACTTATAATAAGAAAGGTCTCTGTCCCTGGCGATTTAAATATGCCGGTCCCAGAAGAAATAAGAATCTCCTGATGAAGTCTTTGTATCTAGACGAAACGCTTTGAGCACCTTGTGAACCCTGAAAGGATCACAGTGGCTGGAAGTTGAATACACTGGGACTGTTTACATCCCACTGACGGTCAATGAAGAGAGACTGTTTAGCTCACCATCTAAGACTGCTGGATCCTGGGGTATTTGCCTATTTAGAGGCACACACGCTTCTGCACACATATTGATTCACTTCAGTTGTGCCACTACACTTGTGAGTGTCCTATTTGATTTTGTTTTTATCTCTTGTAATTAAAGTTTTTTGCATTATTATTTTTTCTTTCTATTTTCATGTGAGTTCTGCATACTCAACATCCAGTTGGTAATTATTAATACCACTTTGTCTGTGAGAGTGGCGCCCTACACTGTATTTTTACTTTGCTGTCATACAGTTTTTTCTGGTCCTCACTTTGCGACCTACCTGTTTTGCAATGGTTCACACTTATGACCAGCTCTCTAGCATGGGGATTCCCCACGTTAGAGAGCGGGTCTATGTTCGGGGAATATTCCCAGAATATAGATTAGAGGGATTTCCTGCCTGGTCTATGTTCGGGGAAATTTCCCCTGAACATAGATTAGAGGGATTCCCTGCTGTGGTGTATATGTCTGCGTTTGGGGAAAATTCCCCAAAGATAGACAAGCACCAGAGCATGGAATCCCTCTATTCTATGTTCGGGGAAATTTCCCCGAACATAGACCTGCACTGGTGCGAATGCGCCTCACTTACCGACCAAATTGTTTTACGACCAAGGCGTAAGAACTGTCACATATTCATCCGCTTATAAAAATGTGATTGATGGAATTTACTGTTCAGACAGGAAAAGTTGTGCCAAACAATATTACCGTCCTGACAAGAAAAAGTTGTGCCGAGCAGCAATCAAATCAACAGGAGGGTTTGTGCTGAGCAGCAATTATGCAATTGCGGGTCAAAGGCCGATTACAGCCTATTAGATCCAGAGGAGGGGTATTTAGGCACAGTTCTCATCCTGCTCAGTGCCCTGTCCTGGTTTCCCTTGTGGTTGTCCAAGAGCGCGTTATTGATTCTGGTAATTCTGGTTATTTGACTTTGGCATTGTTTTTGACTTCCCTGTTTTCTGGCATCCCTGACCCCTGGCTTTTCCTTATCATTGTGTTTCTTTATGTATCCCTTGACCTCAGCTATTCCTGACTATTCTTTGATACGTTAGTCCGGCCATTCTAAGGTCCGGTATACGTTACCTATCAGTCCTCTGTGTTACACAATTCTACGTGCTGGATCATACTGTAATCCTGACAAGAACGGAACCTGGTCAGTAAGGGAGGAGCATCTGTACATTCGCATTTATAAGGGGAACATGGAGCAGTGCCAAACATATAACACAAGGGGAAGGTCTATGGAAAAGGTTGATAGTGTCAAATTATGGGGACCGAGCTAAAAATGGACCCTCCTAAGACTTGCTGGAGTTGAATAATCTAGCTACTCCCTGGGAGCGCTACATATTTGGCGGATAGTGACTTGTGCCAAGTGACCTTAGCAGTGTGAAGCCACCAACATAAACACTAATGCAGTGTATGTATATAAAATTTTATTCTAAGTGTATGTATATATTATTTCTATATAATTATATATTTTTTATATTATTTTATTAATTATATTTTAAGGACCTCTCTGTCAACCCTGGAAGAAATTCCAGAGACATTAATTTACAAGCCCTATATTTGATCTTTTCACTTTCTAAAAGCTCGTAAAACATGTACATGGGGGTACTGTTGTGAATAGAAATATGAGTGTTTTAGAGCAATAAAATATATAATGGTGACAATTACATCATTAAAAGTGAAGTTTTTTTGTGTAAAAAATGCAAAAGAAATATGAACACTAATTTTTGCCAGTATTTGTGACTAAATGGCTACTAAAAACTACTGGACATACCCAATTTTGAATACCCTGAGTTATCTACTTTTGCAAATGGTGTGCCATGATGGGGGTAATTCTCATTCCTGGTCTGCTATACGATCTCATAAGCAACATAGGCCCAGAAACCAATCTGACAAATATCAATCTGTAAAGAATGAAATGAGCAAACTCTTTATTTTATACTGTAACTTTCCAAATCACCATGAAACCTGTACATGGGGTCATCATTGTACTCGTGGGACATCACAGCATGCAAATATGTATGTTATATTGCAGTAAAAGCACTATGACATTTAAATTTAAAATGACATGCAGAAATTGGCAAACAATAGCATTTCTTAATTTCTCACACCTTTTTTAGATTTTATTCATATTAAATTATGTTTCATATGTAAATATTTAATATAAAATGAAAACCATGTTTCTCTTGAACAAAATTATATATGAGTTTGGATACACTAAATAAGAAAGAGGTAAATTATGAACAGAAATAGAACTCAAATTCTAGGTTTTATTTTGGGTGTGTTTTGGTCAGAACTTTGCCTCCTTCCTTAGCCCCTTAATGTTGAAGGGTGTATTATGTGGTCCTGCAAAATTTGTGCAGGGCAGAATGCTCCCCCCTGCAGATATCAGCCCCCTGCATACTTTCCCTCCACGGCGATCCAGATCTAACGGATTAC